CAGGATTAATTCAAATATAAAGCTTGAGGTTCTCCGAAAACTGTAGCAGAGGAGAGCAATGATGCCTGGCACCCTTTTAACCTCTTAAGGACACATGACATATGTGACATGTCATGATTCCCTTTTATTCCGGAAGTTTGGTCCTTAAGGGGTTAAAACAGACTAATTACATTGGGGTTTGCCAGAATACTCCTGGCTCTATAACAACTACAGTGCACTGTGGTAGTGTTGGAACTTGGAGTGTTTCTTTAAATGGACACATGGACACTATAGGCATCCAGACTACTTCAGCTCATTAAGTGCCCCTGTCCCACTTAGTCCTGTAATGTAAATCACTGCAGTTTTTTTAACTCTTTATCCACTGGAGACAAGGGGGGTGGGGAAGGGGGGGGCTCGATGTGTGTGAATTGAGGGGGAAAGGAAGGAACAGAGGGCTCTACAGTGTATAGTGTACTTTGTATTCCTAACACTATAGAATCCCTTTAATTTATGCTAATTCAGAGAAGTGCTACTGTTTCAATCTCCATATATTTGTTGTGTGACCCGAACACTTTAAGACACTTTTGTGCCACATTAATTATGCCTCATGACAATAATTGTAATTATTTTGTTGTTGTTGTTTTACCGTGAATTGTGTATTATATATAATTAAAAATACTTATATTACATTATTTTCCTTTACAGTATTTCACATATCCCACAAAGTGACCACAATTGTACCCGAAAGCTGTCTCCTTATTGTGCTCGGTCTACTCTTGGGAGGTATAGTATGGGGTGCAGATCACATTGCCTCTTTTACATTAACACCTACAGTATTTTTCTTCTACTTACTACCACCTATTGTCCTGGATGCTGGATATTTTATGCCAAACAGATTATTTTTTGGAAATCTTGGAACCATCCTACTCTATGCAGTAATTGGCACAGTATGGAATGCAGCAGCAACTGGTCTTTCACTTTATGGTGTTTACTTGACTGGAATAATGGGTAAGTGTTTTTTTTCATTCTCAGTTTCTTCACTAATACTTTTGAAAGTATTATTACCAAATCTTTCCCTTTGTTGTGAAAATAGATGTACCTTTCCAGTTAAAGTACAATGATATGTAATGTGTAACTACTAATTATTACATTTTAAAAACAGAAAAGTATTGTGCATCCTGAATTTTTTTTAAATGTGTTTCAAACTCTCTTTTGAACATCATCTATGACTTTGGTTTTTTCTATAGTCTGTATTCTGGAATGGAAAGCAACTGCCTTCAATCATTAAACTTGACCTCTTAACAGAAAGAAGCAGGAAACAAATATAGAAATTCTATCTTACCTCCTAGAAGCACACAATATTGTGACTGTGAGAAATGATCTGATTTGTCTTAAAAGTGCTATGTAGCTTATTTCTAAGGGCATTTATAGAACAATATTTTGGACTATAATAGCCCAGTCAAGCATATTTGCACAGTTCTAGGTAGTTTGAGTCAGTTGTAATAACTGGGTAGTTGGGTCAGTTGAATTTGCAACCAGCTTGCCTTTAGTGAATTCTCAGCTTTCAGTTTTTTTGTAGACTGACACCCTTTCTGCTCATCATAGTAATGGAGTGCTTGGGTAGTGGGGTAGTGTGTGAATACATGTTGCAATACATTACTGATAATAAAGACACTGGCTACTTCCACAAACAACGCATTACCCAATACAATATTGTAACAAAAAAAACATTCTTCATTTTAAAACAAATTCCATTTAAATTGGTGTTCCTTATCTGCTGTACTGCCATAACTATGCATCTTGTGTAGCATCATGGCACTATTCCCTCTCCCACCCTCACCTCTTAATATGAAAAAACTTCACTCACAGAATCAACTTCCTGTATGCACAGTGTAGACAACAGTGCAGTTAACACGACTGTCAGGATCATGTTTAATTTTGACTAACATCCATGAGGCTAATCTCACAATGGTTACTTGGACACTTTTCTGTAATGAAATTACAGAGAGTGAGAGTGTAGTAGTTTATTCTTACCCGAAGATACAAGGATTATAACGTTAAAGAAAGATGATATTATGGGCAAAGTGCTAAGTATTTATCTATTTGCATCCAAAATGGCACATGTTTTGCCATTGAAAGCAATCTATCCTTCCAGACTTCCTCAGAAATATGCTTTACTCATGACATGGCTAGACTGGGATTAGAAATTATAGAATGATGCTGTAAACTGTAATCCTACAAAGATCTGATGTCCAGATTAATAAATTAAAGCAACAGTTACAAAATAGTTACAGGGTCAAAATAAAACCACACACAGCATTAATTTACTCATACATATATGGAGACATTTCTAATGGGAGAGACAAACAAAATGAAAAAGAATGGATGCTGCCAAGTATGAAGTAAGCATGCAATGCATTCATAAATGTAGATTAAAGGACCACTATAGTGCCAGGAAAACATACTCGTTTTCCTGGCACTATAGTGCCCTGTGGGTGCCCCCACCCTCAGGGTCCCCCTCCCGCCCGGCTCTGGGGGGGAGGAAGGGGTAAAAACTTACCTTTTTCCAGCACTGGGCGGGGAGCTCTCCTCTTCCGATCCTCCTCCTCTCCGCCCATTCTGCTGAATGCGCACACGCGGCAAGAGCTGCGCGCGCATTCAGCCGGTCGCATAGGAAAGCATTTACAATGCTTTCCTATGGATACTTGCGTGTTCTCACTGTGATTTTCACAGTGAGAATCACGCAAGCGCCTCTAGCGGCTGTCTTGCTAGAGGGTTTGGGGGAAGGATTAACCCATTTATAAACATAGTAGTTTCTCTGAAACTGCTATGTTTATAAAAAAATGGGTTAACCCTAGCTGGACCTGGCACCCAGACCACTTCATTAAGCTGAAGTAGTCTGGGTGCCTAGAGTGGTCCTTTAACGACTTGGGAACTTTGCCTATTTGGTCGCAATATGAAAAACATTATTTTAAATGTTTTGTTTAATTTTCTTTAATTCGCATGAAAGAACAAAAATGTGAATGTACTCCGTAATCTTTGCATATTCTTTATTTTGCTCTAACTGCTTCACAATTTTTTGAACAAATGACAAAAAAAAAATATTTATTAAATTGTTAAAATCCTTTTGTAATATTTTAAAGGTGATCTACAAATAGGTGTATTGGAATTTCTTCTTTTTGGAAGCCTTATTGCTGCAGTTGATCCAGTGGCTGTTCTTGCTGTGTTTGAAGAGGTTCACGTCAATGATGTCCTTTTTATAATTGTTTTTGGAGAATCCCTTCTAAATGATGCTGTGACAGTGGTAAGGAGAAATTATAATTTGTTAATTTGTTGGTTGGCAAATGTGCAGAGCTTATTATTTATATGGCTACATTTGTTAAGCATAGATATATAATATAATTTAGGACTGATCATTTCAGTGGTAATATTCAACTTTCTTGAAAATGTTTCTTACAATCTAAAGCTAAACGTAATATGTTACGAAAATGTATGTTCTTCGTAACACAAAATAATTGTATATAGTAAGAAAAAAAAGTGTCAATTAACCACATTTCACGTGCATTGATCAAGAGTAAGGGTTTTGTAGATTTTTAGAATGAAATTACCTTTTATGATATTATGTTAAATGCTATAATAATACTATATTAATTAATTATATTAATACTACTCTGCATCATAGGCGTGCGCACGGGGTGTGCCGGGTGTGCCTGGGCACACCCTAATCCCCGTGGCACGCCTATGGTTTGAGTCCTGCAGGAACAGCGTTCCTGCACTTTTTTTGAGCAGGAACGCTGTTCCTGCAGGCACTCAGTGCCCCCTGTTTCACCTCTTGCCCCTGTCATGGGGAGGGCAAGAGGTGATGGATTCCCACGCCCCACTCAGCGCGCGGCGTGGGAGCTCTCTGCTGTCGGCTCTCTGCTCCCTCTCGCCGCGCGCTGATGCCGGGAGCCGGAATATGACGTCATATTCCGGCTCCCAGCTGCAGCAGACAGCCCGCGCGGCGAGAGGAAGCAGAGAGCAGAGAGCTCCCTCGCCGCGGCTCAGCTGGAGAAAGGCGCCTGCCCCCACTGGACCCCAGGGAAAAGTCCACCAGCACTCCAGGTAGGAGGCTGGGTGGACATTGTTTTTTAAAATTAAAATATAATAATTTGTGTGTGTGTGTGAGTATGTGTGTGTCTGTCAGTGTGTGTGTGTCTATAAGTATGTGTGTGTGTCTGTGAGTATGTGTGTGTGTGTGTCTGTGAGTGTCTGTGAGTGTGTGTGTGTTTCTGTGAGTATGTGTGTGTGTGTGTTTCTGTGAGTGTGTGTCTGTGAGTGTGTGTGTATGTGTGTGTGTCAGTGTGTGTGTGAGTGTGTGTCTGTGAGTGTATGTGTGTGTCTGTGAGTATGTATGTGTGTGTGTGTCTGTCAGTGTGTGTGTGTGTACGTATATATATATATATATATATATACACACACACACACGCAGAGCCGGCGCTATCTGAGTGGCGGCTCTGCTCTAAGCCTTCATGGGCCGGCGGGGAGACCAAAGATCTACCTCACCGGCCCACAGCAGCATGGAGGGAGGCAGTAGAGGACCCAGGGAGCTCTAGACAGAAGCTCCGCCAGGTTCCTCTCGCGATATCTGAGCATAGCTGCGGGCAACGCTCCGATCTCGCGAGAGTTAACTCTAGCCCCACAGGCTAGAGTTCACTCTCCACTGGACCACCAGGGATGGCACATGGCAGCAAGGATTTACTAATCTGCCAAATCCCTCCAAACATACAGCACACACACATACAGCACCTACACACATACAGCTCACACACACACAGCACCCTCACAAACACACACAGCACCTTTAAAAAAAACCACAACACCCTCACACACAGCACACTAACAGCACCCTCACAAACAGCACCCTCACAGGACAAACATACACACACAAACACCCTCACACACAAACGGCACAGTCACAAACACGCACCCTCACACACACATCACACTAACAGCACACAGCACACTAACAGCACACACAGCAGTGTGTGTGTGTGTGTGTGTGTGTTTATATATATATATATATATACATACACACACACACACACACACACACACACACACACGCGCGTGGCGTGTGTTTGTGCTTTAGGGTGCACACCCTAATGCAATAGGCTGCGCACGCCTATGCTCTGCATAAACTAAACATAAAACATTATATACTATATGTTAAATCAAAGCATGAAACAGTTGCTTACCAATATTAAGTAGTGTGGAAATTTATTCCTTATACACATGAAAAATATAGTAGGCTATGAAAAAAACACTGCATGATTGATACAAATTAGAAGAGGAGCCAAACAAAAGGAAAAAAATATGATAAGGACTGAAAAGTGTCTCGTCACCCATTAAAAAGACATGTGCAATGTGCCATCATTTTGTAAATAATAATTATTAGATTTGCAAATTGACCATGATTTCTGTTTAGTAGATAATTCTAAAGTGTGACACATGTCTGTCTCAGGGTACTATTCCCTATTTGCAAGTAACTGTTTTAAAGAGGTACTATTGCTTTTTCAACACTAGTAAAGTGTTTAATTAAAATACATATGCATTGGATGAAAGCAGAAACATTACATGAAGTTGGTAGATAATACTCAAGAACAGATTTGACCTTCTACTTTTCAATTAATTACATTCATAAAGCATTTTCAAAATATAAAACATTAAAACAAACTGATTAGCTTTGAAGTCCTTCATTCACTGCAAAACTTCAGGATTCGCAGCATTGTATAATGTAATCTGGTAAAAAAAATGGAGGAGGGAAGCAATGCCTTATGGGTGTCCTCCAATTCAAATGCAGATAGGCAAATATGTAAAAGAAAGTAGGATAAAGTGCAAAATATAGTGCAGTATGTTGAATTTCAAAAGAATTAAATAAAGTAGTGTAGTTACAGGTTTCTGGAGCTGATAATTAGCTCCAAAATGTATGTGCCCAGTGGAGCCTGTGGAGTCAAAAAAAGAGATGATTGATGGGAAATAAAGATGATCGATGGCTAAGGGACAGTCACTAAATATTTTTTTTTCACAGATCAAGTGAAAAGTGAGTAAAAGAGGAAAATAAGAAAGAGCAAAATACATGTATTTCTATATTACATATTTTATAAACATATAATATATAAAAATATAATTTTTTTTTACTGCTACTCCTGTTTTTTCCTCTATTGGTTACTTTTTCTCACTTGATTTGTGAACCAAATGATGGGAAAATGTAATGCGTACTATAAAATATATGCAGATTATTTCATTAGGCCCATTTTCATGCCATTTGTTTTTTTCAGTACCAAAATTCTGCTTAAAGGACCACTCTAGCAGGGCCGGACTGGGGATACAAAGCAGCCCTGGAAAAAAAATTTGTGCCAGCCCCATAAGTCACGGCGCCATATATTGTCGCGTGTAATATGTAAGGCTATGTCTTGCCAGGACAGATGATTGAGTAATATATATATATATATATATGCTTTTTCTAATATAAAATATTGGTCCTTTCAGGGTAAAACGTTTAATTATACAGTAAGCATACGCACATGCAGACACAGGCAATTTCACTGACATTTCAGTGACACACACAAGCTCATTGATACACAGCCTCATAGACAAACAATCTTACTGATATACATCAGCTCATTGACATAAAAACACAAGCTCACTCACTAGCAGGCACACGCATGCAAGCAAGCTCACTCACTAGCAGACGCACACACACAGCTTAATGTGGTGGTACTGGTGTCTATAGCATGTCCCTACAGGCATTTCAACGTAAACACTGACTTTTCAGACAAAAGGCAGTGTTTACATTGCTTCAAAGTGACACTGCTAGTGACAGTCACTCAGACGGTCACTAGAGGTGCTTCCTGTGTTAGTGCCCTCCCGCCCTCGCGCGCTGCTGAATGAGACTGGCGCCGGAATATGACGTCATATTCCGGCGCCGGTCTCATTCAGCTGCGTGCTGGGGAGCAGAGCCAGCGCAGCTCGCGCAGCTCCCTCAGCGGCCGCCAGGACAAGTCCGCCAGCGGCCGCCAAAAGACCTCCCCAGCGGCCAGGGGAGGGCTGGCAGCCTTAGGCCTGGGGGGCAAAACCAGTCAAGTAGACTGGTGCACCTGCCCAGGATCAGAGCCGGTGCAAGGATTTTTGCCGCCCTAGACAAAATAAAAATTTGCTGCCCCCACATGTCACATCACAATGCCCCACCCATATGATCTGCCATATGAACTAACGCCAGTGCTGCACACAGTGTGTGTTTACATTAAAAAGCCTGCAGGGACCAGCTATAGACACCAGAACCACTTCATTAAGCTATAGTGTCCCTTTAATGTGAGGTAAATTATAGATTAGTGTCACTAATAATATACTAGATTGCCTACTTACAAGCAGATGAGGATGATGATGGGCTGCAGTTTGGCTCCACTGGTCTGGAGTAGAACAGGATCTCTGGAGGCTGTTTGCAACTGTGGTCACAAAATTCAATGTTCTGGGAGAATTGGAAGCAGCTCAATTTTTTGGGGGCCCCTTACACAGCTCAAGGTCTGGGCCCCAGGGCCTGACGGTGAGTATGCCCATAAGGCCCACTCATAAGTTCCACCCACCCATGAGTTCGCTCACAGGGAGTGGAGTGTGTAGGGGATGTGTTATGTGTTATTGTAGAGGATCTAATATGTGTGCTTATGGTATGTAGTGTTTAGGGTTACCAGTTTGTGCAGGTGATGCAGTGTGTTTGTGTGTAGTGGAAGCAGTGTGTATTTGTGTATAAGGGATGTATTATGTGTTTCTGGTTGTGTGTAAGGGATGCATTGTGTGAATCTGTGTTTGTATGCATAAGGGATGCAAGGTGTGTGTCTGTATGTGTGTGCATGAGATGCATTGTGTTTCTGTGTGTATGTAAGAAAAGAAGTGTGTGTGTTTGCATGCGTGTGTGTACGGGTTTGCATTGTCTGTTTCTGTGTATGTGTGCAAAGGATGCATTGTCTTTGTGTGTAAGGGTTGCATTGTGTGTGTGTGTGTGTGTAATGGATGCATTGTGTGTTTCTCTGTGTGTAAGGGAAGCATGTTGTGTTTCTGTGTATGTATAGGGATGCATTGTGTGTGTGTGCGCGCGTAGTGTGAAAGAGCTTCCTGTCTTGGCCCCTGTCCTATAGAGCTGCCCCTTCTTCTTATTCCCCTTCCTCCCCTCTTCTTATTCCCCCCTCTTTTTATTCCCCCCCCATCTTATTCCCCCCTCCCCTCTTCTTATTCCCCTCCCTCCCCTCTTCTTATTCCTCCCCCTCCCCTCTTCTTATTCCCCTCCCTCCCCTCTTCTTACTCCTCCCC